CTTAATGAGTAGCACTGTACACTTTGATCTAATGAAACTACACTCAACATTCAGCACACGTATAGGACCACTATTATGCATAACGTACTCAAAGAGACATAAAATATATACCTGTTGAGAGAGAAAAAATGGGGGAAAAGGAAGAGGGAAGCAGCAACAGGGAGGGAGAGGGAGAAGGAGAAGGAAAGAGAGAGTGAGATCTCATAGTATGGCAGGAGATTCTAAATGCTGAGCCAGTAATACAAACAATAAAAGCTACAGAAGCTCAGAGGCGTTCACTTTAAATTTGGATGGTGCAAAATGATTTCACAGAAGGGATAGGATTTGAGCTGTGCCATAAAGGATGACTTTGGATAGGCAGAGAGAAGGTGGGAGAGAGGAATAGCATCAGAATAGATTCAGAGGCAGAAAAGCATAAATTTCCTTGAGAATGAATGAAGAATGAAGAGATCACTGGAGTGAAGTTTTTGTGTCAGGTACAAAATCTTAATTTTAGAAATTAACATGGATTAACATGGATGGATACAGATGTTGAGGGGCTTGAATCTCAGGCTGAAGACATTTGAGTTTCTCCTACTGGCAACCAGGAGCTACCGAGAATTTAAAGTGGAAGAACATGATGAAGACAGGGTTTTCAAACAGATTGGCTAGGAAGGATACTGGAGGCAAGCAGACCAGTAAGGCAGCCATTGCATAGCTGAATAGGAGATGATAAAGCCTGATCCAATGGAGAAGGAAAAAAAGCTGGAAACGTGTTGGAGGAAAAATAGGTGGTAACTAGCGGAAAGCAGGAGCGAGTTGGTTAACCATATCTCTTTTCTCCAACAAGACAGAGCGTTTATTTTGGAATCCCACGTATCTTAAGGGAAGAGAAATTCAAAATTATTTCTCTCTTCTGAAAGTTGTCAACTTTGAAGTGTGGAATTAAGGACAAGGAGATTGGGAATCTGAATGTGACGCACTGATATCCATTTGAAAAGTTTCTTATTAGATTCTAATTTATCTGTTCAAAGGGAAGTGGTACCTTTTGAGCGGGAAAGGCTATCATCGTTAGCTTTTTTTCATCAAGACTAATGACAAACATTACATACTCACACACACACATTCTAAAGCTCAATAGATTAAACTTTGAAAGCTTCAGATATTACTTCAATAACTGCCTCTTGTTGGATGCAAATCTTAGAGAGCTACATTATTGTTAAATAAACTTTTCAGATTAAAGTGTTGTGGAAGAATACTAAAGTGATAAGGAAATTTAATGGTCATCCAGACCAACCTCCTTTGTTTTATAGAAGAAACTGAGACCAAGGAAATTATTTTCCCTTTTAATTAGAAAACACAACTGGTACTAAAATCAAGAGATCCACCCTTAAGGATAATGTTCTTTTTTTCACAGTCCTTTACCTTAGCCTCAGTGATTCCATCCTTCTGGGATGTGCTTATAAGCCGACGGTGCAGCTGTGTCATCTCCAACTCTATATTTCTCTTCTGTTTGTATCATTGAGAAGGAAACACAACAGAAAAGGACCTCCAAGATGAGACAGAGTTCCCATTCCAAGGCGGTGAAGTAATTCAGACAGCTAGTAACCCAGAAAAGCAGAGTGGGATGGAGATGCTTAGAGAGTAGAACAGAGCCCCAACCTGCCCTCACCCATATTACCTACTGTTTGATGCACTTGAAGAGGAGCAAACAGTAATACTGCCTCCAAGATGTTGGAGAAAAGCAACCATTACTATCATCTTGCAGGTAATGGCTGGGTAGTGGGAATGGAGCAATGGTTTCAGGAAGGGGCAGAAATGGACTTACCATGAACCCTAAGAAACTTAAGCTCACTAACTTGGACCCTTCCAAGTCCTGGGAGGTGCCCTAGCAATTTTGCATTTATAATTTGGAGGATTTTTTTCTTAAAGACATGCCCTCAAATTATCATTTAGGCTCTGCAAAAGCCCTAAGAATGGGATGTGCTACATAGTCTAGCACCCTCTGGAAACGCCTCAATAGTGTCAGTGACCTGCTTTATTAGCTATTACAACAAGTCCAAATGAACACTCTTTGGCGGTTTTTTATTTTATTAAATTGTATCCGTAAGACTTTTAAAAGTGGATGAAATAATGTTTAAATTTTTACAATCTAAGTCACAGACCTTCTTTTCATTCCAATATTTAGGATTTCTTTCCCCTTGGTTCATTATTGAATTTAGTTAAACAGTTTCTATTGAAATTATATTTCTGCATAACAAATATAACTTCAGAAGCAGTTATAAGTGAGATGTTATATAGAAGTATTTTGTATATTTGTTGCATGTTCATGCCCTGGAAATGTGGTATACAAGTCGAAACCATAAAAATCTTGATTTCTATTTAGATGGAGATTTATCATTATTTGTGAGATATGTCCAGTATGGTTTCACTTTAAAACCACAAATAAAATTTTGACAATGGGCATTTTTCTTGTTGAGAGGTCTGTGGTCAAACTAAACATCTCTCTGAACCTGATTAGGTCCTGAGGTTTTCAAACTCAATATTCAGCAAATACAGAGGATTTGTTTGGCCCTAAGAAATAATTAAGAAATTCAGAAGTAATGCAACTCTCCGAGCCTGCTCCTCTTTTCTGACGACATGATAATCGGACATAACTTCTCCTGGTCTTGGGCCTCACTGTATACGAATTAAGGCAGAATAAATTACATACAATTAATCTTTTGAGGATCTAGGTGACATTGCTTTAGGTTTTTACATTAGCAAGTCCTTGACTTGCTAGTACTCAAGTAATGGAAATTTTATATGTTATTAAATGCTTTATTTCTTCTTTCTCACTCCCAACTATCTTGAATCCAGAAAAAGAGACACTTGGTCATTCTGTGAAGACAAAAGACCATTGAACAGTTAGTTATACAACAGCCAAAACTGTCCACTGTGTATTCATTCTTGTAACGGATTGCTGGAGGGTAAATTAGCATACTTAGTTTGAAATCTTACCAAATAGAAGTAGGATTGTTTTAGCAGTTTCCCAGTTTGCGTAGTAACCATCATGCTTCACGGAGGATCTGACTCAAAATAACACAAGGCTCCGAATAATGAGAAGGGGAATGCTCTATCAAGGATCCACATGGGCTAGGTACCTCCACTGATGAGACGTATTTAATAATGTCTAAAATTCACCTTTCTTGTATAAACATAGTGTTGTATCCCTAGGGACTGCATTTGGTTTCTTAGACCTGAACTCTCTTTCTTCCAATGATAGGCCCAGAATAAAATGTGTAGGAGTCACCGAATTGTTTCTGTGGCATTTTCACCGCCGGAAGGGACCTCTAGACATCACCTAGTTCGTCTCGATCTCCAGCCAGGACTCTCCCTAATACTGAATATAGCTGTACAGCAATCTGCATTAAGAAAGCTTTTAAAGATCCCTGGGGTTGGTCAAAAAATAGCTAATATTGGCCTGATTCTTAGAACAGCATTATATGTATGTCAAAATAGCCACCTTCATCCCGGAAGACATCCATCAGAGCTAAGTGCTAGGAGTAGCTTCAAAAGGAAAAGCAGTATTTTCTCAGAGAAAAGGGTGGTAGATTAAGGAAATGACCAAGCGTGTTGGTATTTTTTTGTTGAGGTGTACATTTAAATGCTTATCAAAAAGGAAACATCATCTTGTCAAAGACCACTGCAGGGGAAGCCCAGAGGTGGCTGTAAGCAAGCAGGTTGCAACTCCTTTAACAAGTCTTTTCAAATAGCTACAGAACTCAGAGGGGGGCTGTTGCTTCAAACAAGATCTGATTAGCATCAAGTTAGTGAAGGGCGGCCGGTGAAACAGAAGCAGAGCATTGACAGACCTGTTTGTTAAGTGATACCTTTTCCCCCTCATCACCTGAGTTTGTTAGAGCTGAAAATTTCACTTTCTCAACTCCATTAAAATGTGGGTGCAAAGGACGGGAGTTTAAGTGTAATTTTAATCTTCTAAGACAACTAATCACATCACTGTTTTATAGGGAAAGTAATCCTCCATGATTGCTAAATTATTGGATTTGAAGCACTACACTAGAATCTAGAAATCTAGCTAAAAGGAGAGCTGAGCTTCTTACCTGGATTATTTGGGACTTAAAGCCTTTCAGTTGAACTACACAGAGAACGTAAAGATACAGCTGTAGCTATTTGTAAAGTGAAGAAAATAACCTGCCCTGACAATTGTCCCAAGTATCCAATTGATTTTGTGTATTAACATTGCATTTTTCCAAATACTATTTCTGTAAGGTTACATAAAACCCTGGTCAGCCATGGGTGCCTTCAGGGTTGGGAACTGGAGAGCTGGGTGAAAATAAGGGGTTTTGCCACATACCCACTTGCAAACTTTTACATTTTGTGCTTGTGCTTCTTCCAAAGAATTCATTTGAAAATATTTCATTTTTGAAAACAGAAAGGCACCCTTTGCTCTCTTATAAGGCCGGATGCACCATCTGGGGTACAGGAAGCGGAAAGCTCTGACTACTCTCCCCGCCTCCTCTGCAATTCTTGACTTTGGAAATGGGAGTTTGGCTGTTGAGAGCTTTTTGTTGTGCAGCCACCTTTCTCAGACAACACTAAGCAACTAACCAACTAACAGTCTTCAGGTCGCCTTTCTTCTCCTTTTGTGAGAGCAGGAGACAAAAGAACAAGGAGATCTCTCCACAGCATCTCTTTGGCTGTAAGTCATTCCCACAGTGGACTCCTAATCTTTGAGTCAATGCGCAGTCTACGCATTGACCATAAAACTGGGGCACTGAAGCCAAGAGTGCTTCCTTAGTTACTTGGATATCTGGAAGAGTAGTTTTTCCTCTCCCTTAATCTGCTCAGATAATTGTCCCTAACTTGTTGTTTGTGTATACAACCTATAAGAGGTGTTATTTTTTAAAGTTATCAACCTTAAACAAATCACCATAGCAGAATCAAGAAATTCCAACCAGAAGAAACTGAATCAGCCTTAAAGAAAGATAATCAAAATGAAGAGTGCAAGGAAAGGCAGAGAATAGCAGATTCTGTAGTTTTATTACAAAGGAAAAGTTCAAACCCTTTACATGCTCTGACATTAAATGTCATACATAAGTTCATTGCAAGCAAACCTTTTAAAAAATATACACACTGTATATATTTACATTCAAGTTTGAGTAACTAGTATCAAGATGTAGTTGAGGTTCTAATCTTTACCTGCCCTATGGATGTGTTCAGCTACTAACTAAATAGCGATTGTATCTTCTTCACTCAGGCACATGGAGAGGTAGAAATTGGTTTTTAAAGAAAAAGAAAAGAACTGGAGTGCAAATGTGAAGATCATTGAAGCAGCTTAGCTACATCAAGAGGCCCTAACTAGCTTTGGTCATCTCAAGGAGCTGCATACAGGTAGCCTTGCCCTTTAGATTAAAACCAGAAAAATTTTGGGCAGATGCTCTTCTGAGCACAACAGGGAGTTGGCAGAGTTCAGCAACTAATGCTCTGCCACTCTGCACCCAAGAATTGCATATGACTAAGTTACACAACATAGCAGCAGGGCTGGGCTGGGCACCTTTTCCCTGATAAGACACAAGTAATACACAAACGAGTGGCTTAAGAGACCTGAAATTAATATCTGTACACTCCTAGCCTGGAACTCAGAAGCCGACTAAGATACTTCCTCTCCCAAGTGAAACCTCTATTAATTTCTGCCCATGCCCACCTCCCTCCCGAACTGAGCAAGTCTAGAAAGGGATGGGGTGGCCTATGACTTCTGCAGGCCAAGGTTCCTCAGCCTAAAGACTAAACCTCATGATGGTTCTTGGGCCTGAGAAGGGCTCCCCGGGTTCTTGCCCGACTTGGTGGGACTCGTTCCTGAGAGGGGAAGTTGGAGAGAAGCCACGGGCGTGGCCGAGGGCAGAAGCCCTTCTCGTTCTCTTTTCTTCTGTTTCATCCTGCGGTTCTGGAACCAGATTTTGACCTGGGTGTCATTCAGCTGCAAGGAGTTGGCTATCTCGATGCGTCGGGCTCGAGTTAAGTACTTATTAAAATGAAACTCCTTCTCCAGTTCTGTCAGTTGCTTGGTGCTGAAGTTAGTGCGGATCGCGCTGGAGGGGCTAGCGGCTCCATACTCGGCGAGTTTGCCTGCAACGGAAAGACAGGGCGTCAGCGGGGCGAGAGGACGCGGGGACAGGACGCGGGCGAGCAATGCGGCTACAGTTAGAATCAAAGTCACAGCGCAGCGCTCCTGGGTCCCTGTAAACACACTTGTGCCAGGAGAAACGCTCCACGGAGAGCTCTTTCCTGCAACGTTCTCAATGCCCGGCACATTTTCAGAGCGTGTCCCCGGGGCACGCTCCATGGAATTCGCCTACTTTAATAACGCTTCGGGACGCGTTTCCTCCATAAAACCCAAGTTGCCGTCGGGAGGGACAGCTGCACCGCGCTCCCAGCGCCACGCCGCGGAGGAGGCTCGGTCCCCGACCCCAGCTGCGGCCATCCACGGCCCAAGTACTCACTTTTCTTGGGGGCGTTCCTCTTCACTTTCATCCACTCGAACGTGCTGAAGGCGGCGGGGAGGCCGGAGGCCGGTGAGGCGCACTTGGGATAGGCGCCGGGCGCCGGGGACGCAGTCTGGAAGACCCCAGCGTGGCCGTCGGCGGGCTCCTTGAGACACGCTGGGAAGGGGCCGGGCTCGCCGAAGGCCGCGTAGTCCACCTGCCCGCTGAGGAGGAAGGGGCCGCCGCCCGAGCAGACGGCCGAGGTGGCGTAGTGGACTTGCGCCCCGCCGTCGTCGGCCGGCCGCCCCGGTGCGCCCGGGAAGTCGTAGGCGGGCCCGGGCCCCAGGAAGCCGTAGTCGGCGCCCCCCGCCGCGGCCGGGGCGGCGCCCGCCTCGTAGGCCCCCTCCAGGCTGCACCGCGCGTACGGGGGCGCGGCCGAGGGCGGCGCGGGGGCGGCGGGGGGCGAGGGCGCAGGCCGGGCGGCGGCCAGAGCCAGGCAGCTGACGAAGGCGCGGTCGCCGCTGCCCAGGGGGAAGGCGGGCTGCAGGGCCACGGGCCGGGCGTCGGCGCGGCAGAACTTGGGCGCGAAGCTCAGCACGTCGCCGCCGCCGCCGCTGGCGCCCGCCACGTACTCCAGGTAGGAGCTCATGGTTCCGGCCCACACCCCTGAGCGCGCGGGCCGGGGCAGGGGCCGGGGTCGGGGTGCCGGGCAGGGCGGGGCCGCCGCGGTCTGCGCCGCTCCGCCGCTCCTCTCTACCCGAGCTGCCCTTGCCGAGCCATGGCGAGCGAGCCGGAGGTAAATAGTGGCCTCATATAGCGGCGGGGGTGACCACGTGGCGCGGGCCGGCCAATGGGCGCCTTCCCCGCACGGCCCGGGGCCAGACGGGCGCGCGGCTCCACGCGCCTGCCCCGCCGCCAACTTTGCCAACCCTGCGGGAGGCCGCCGCCCGGCGCCCGCGGGCCCGGGGGAGAGCCGGCGCGGCCCGGGGGGCTGCCTGGGGGAGGCGGGGCGAGAGCGCAGGACGCCCGCTCCCCGGGCAGCAAAGGAACGAGGTGGCGGAGAAAGGGGGGACTGGCCGCTCGGGTGAGGGCGAGAGGATGGAGAGGGCGAGAGGATGGAGAGGGCGAGAGAGCTTGCTCTCCTGGATCGTGGGTGGCTAGTCCCTCGGGCGCGCAATGTGGGCGCCGCGGTGCGGAAGGGGTTACAAGGGAACGTGGAGCTCGGCCCGTGGGGACTGCTCCTAGCCCTTCTCCAGGGAAGGTAAAGTTATTCTCCCTTTTTCTCTGAGCTCTATGAGCTTTCGGTTTCCTTGGCACTGGTGTTATCTCTCTCCTAAACCTGGCTGGAGTAGATGTTTGAATTTCCCTCTTTTTCCCCCCTCCCGCCGACGCATGGGACTCAGTTTTATGCTGTAGGTGCTGTGTACCTGCGGAGGCACAAAATCTTCATTTTAGACTAGATTTTCACATTATTTCACAGCATTCCCTTCAGCTTCTGCCACTCCTTCCATTTGTGGCGGCATGGTAAGGGCGAGTGTTGGAGTGCCAAGTTTTGATTTGGACAAAAGATAAAGTTTCTGCCTGGTGGGGAAGTTTAGCAGATTTCCCCCCTAGATTGTCAAAATAGAGGATCTGCCCTTTGGTGGAGCGCTCCTTGTGCTCCTGTCTGGGAGGCTGGCTCATGCGCCAGTGCTGCGCACGCTTTCCCGAGGCGTTTGGCTCGGAGAGCGCATAGGCTTCCCAGGGACCGGTCCGATCTCAGAGGTTTGGATGGGCTTGTACCTCAAGGCAATTAAAGCTTCTGTTCCATCAGATAAGTGCTGCGTTGTCTCTTGCGAGTGAAATCTGAGGGCTCACAATGTTAATGGGCTCATGTCTTTCCCTTGATAATATGGTTTTGTTTACTGAGTGGAGAGAGACGGGAAATAAAAGTGCAACTGGCACAGGAAACGAAGAGTAGACGGGTTACAAAGACAAGCTTTACATTGACAAACTTGCCAACTTCCTTGACCATTTCTTTTAGTGTTTCCCACTCTGGGGCTGTTGGAAAATAACAAATTAAATAAATAAGTGTTATTTACACACAGCAGTAATGAAAGAGGGTGGTTTCCTAAAACTGTGTGAGTAAAGAGTCCTCTTGGCTTGTTCAAGTGCCCTTGAGAACTTGATGTGTTACAGCCTCCGAGTTATGGTGACGAGGTTTTGTTATTGTTTTAGTGATCCACTTGTTATGAAAGAGCGATTGAGCCCTTGCCTAAAATTCCAGTCAAAGGAAGTCTGGAAAATAGGAGCCATCACAGTCCAGGGAGGCGGTTCCTTACAGGGATGTGAACCTGAGGATAAAGAAAGCCGCTCCAGAAGTGTTAGTGCTGGCGAGGGCTGAAGCTGAGTCAAGATGCAGAGGGCAGTAGGTAGAGGAATGAGCACAAAGCTAAAGGGGTGTGGGGTTCCTGCTCTGCTGGAGTTCTTGGATTTGATTGGGAAGTACAATCCTGTGCTAAAATAGCCCTTCACACTTGATGTTGCTACTTCAGTTCTCTTCTGTAGCCAATCAGATGACAAACATCCTAAATCTTTTTTTTTTTTTTAAGATAAAGGCTCTTCTCTAGCATCCTGGTCAGGAGATGATAGAGCTGTTCAGACCTAGCTCAGGCTTCAATGTAGATGCATTTCTTCACTGTCCTCCCTCTGTCCTCTTCATACAAAAGTACCAGCAAGTCCGATGCTGCTGAGTTCTCAGTGTCCTTCATCCACCTCTTGCTGGACTCTAATTGCCAATTTTTACCAGCATAATGTCCCAGCTCTCACATTCGTATCTCAAAACTATAAGGCCCTTTCTCAGAAGGTACTCATCTGATCATAACTCCTAGGCCCAAGGGACCCAGAGGGTCCAGAAGGAAGGACGGCCTTGTAAACCTTTCTGGAGAAGATGTCCAGATGGCTGCAACCTAGGACGTAGGACAGAAAGTCCAGCCTTGATTGTCTGGCAAATCTGACCCAGATCTATCAAATTAAGAGCCTTTTCTCTAAGGTTTCAGGAAAAACAGGCAGCCTAGGTGCCTTGGCAACCTTCACTGCGACAAGGACCAGGTTTTTGCTGTTAAGCCTTTGGGGCAAAGGTGGGGTCCTTCCTGTCAGAATTAAGCATTGACTTTGATGCACCCACAAGCTGTCCACAACGTTTCCCAGAAGCACAATTTTGGAGATTTAGCTTTTGGTGAGGGAGTATGTCCTAAAAGAGAATGAGATCTTTAAAAAATTGTGTTTTGTTTTCACAACTGTGGGTGAGAGTGGGTGGGTAGGGTATTCAGTGTTTGCTCAGACCAATAGTAGTTCCCTGGCAATTGCACACAGAGGGCTACACTCTGTGCATCCTTCTCTCTAGTCCCTTTAATCTCCCAGTCTTTGGCATATCCTACACCTCGGGGCTCAGAGTTGCCACCTCCACTCCTGGGCTGGTTCTTGACTTGCTCAGGTTGGAAGTCAAGACTCTGGTCATCTCAGGCTCAGATTCAACAAACTTTTGCCAAGGACCTACTGTGTAAGAAGATTTTGCTGGGGGAGGTCTAGGCTGGGAAAAAAGATATTCTCAAGCCAAAGGAACGAGGGATTCATTTCGGGCACAGGTCTTAGCTGTACTATAAATCTACTCCAAGAGAATCTAGATCTGTAATTTTCTAAGGAGAGATTGGAAGATAGTGGGGGAAGTGTGTGTAGAAGGATGTGAGTAGAGAATATTTTGAGTAGCTTTAAAGTTTGTCCCCTAGATGTTCACAGGGTATGGGAGAAATGTCTTTCTAATTTATTGCTTGTTCAAGCCATGAATTCCCAAGGGTCACTTGCCCTGCTGGGTCCCAGTGCTGTGAATTCTCAGCTGGAGGTGACAGCAGAGGCATCTGATTGCCAGGTTGTGTTTGATGTAGGAATGCTTTGAAATCTCTCCCATCCTGCTCACCACAGCAGCCACCCCCTACCACCCCCATCACTACCTTTCTCTCCCACTGGAACAACAACAAGCTTCTTTTCTGCAGACAGAGGTGATAGAGGGTGGCAGTGTGGTCTTCTGTGTGTTTACTGTTGTTCCAAAGAAGCTTCTTGCAACCCCTGTCCACAGGCCACACTGTGTTACCCCTTGGAGATACCTGACCACATGAACTCGGCTCCACCACCGCCAAGGATAGAAAGGCTCTTGCCTGTTGGAGTAAAAAAAAGAGAGGAGTCTTCTTTTAAGCAAGATTTGCAGTTCTCTGCAGCATCCTTCAGTCATCCCAGGATGGAGGTGGGGATAAAAGAGATCCTAAGGACAGGAATTCTAAACCTGGTAGAAGTCTGATAACGTGACCCTCCCCGAGGAAAAGAGTTTAGAGTGCTGTGTCTTTCCCTTAGAACTTTATGAGTAAAAGGCTTATGGGTCAAGTCCATGCCTGACATACGGTAGGCATTTAATAAATGTTTGTTGGACAGAAATAAAAATGGACAGAATGGTGTGTCTTCACCATGACTAACATTGACTAAAGGATATCCTTAGATTATTGGCTCCCAAAACCACTTCATGTGGGTAGGAATCACTATAGAAGCTTGTGTAAAAGTGCAAGCTCTTCAGCCCACCCCCAGAGATTTTAATCCAATAGGTCTGACTCAGGAGTCTATTTTTATTTTATTTTTGTGTGTGTGTGTGTGTTTTGAGGAAGATTAGGCCTGAGCTAACATCTGCAGCCAGTCCTCCTCTTTTTGCTGAGCAAGACTGGCCCTGAGCTAGCATCCGTGCCTATCTTCCTCTACTTTATATGTGGGATGCCTGCCACAGCACGGCTTGACAAGTGGTGTGTAGGTCAGCACCCGGGATCCGAACTGGCTAACGCCGGGCTGCTGAGTGGAACGTGTGAACTTAACCGCTGTACCACCGGGCCGGCCCCAGGAGTCTTTATTTTTAATAAGCCTCTTGGCTGATTCTAAAGCAAGGTTCTTCGGAACCACACTTAGGGAATTGCTGCTTTAGGAGCTGGGGGGTGGGCAGTGTGGGGAGAGAGGGGTGATTCTGTGGGAGGGGCCCTTGACCAGCATGATGAGAGCTTGTGGCCAGCTGGAGCTCAAGTATACCTGAAGTGTCCAGAAGCCTGGTGGATGGTAGGGGCAGAGAGGTCAATATCAAGGTCAAACTTAAGTTTAGTTGGGCTGAAGTTCCGGAAAATATCCTTAAGTAGTCAGTAGGAGTTTCCCAAATTTTGCTGACAAAATAGTGCTTTGCAGAGACCTGGCTCACTTCTGCTCCTTGCCACTTCCCTGACTTGGCTTTGAGGATGCCAGTGGGGCAGAAAGTGAAGAGTTTGTCTCTCTCAGTCTCTTCAGAGAAAATTTAGAGTGGTTCTGAGGCAATGGGAAGAAGGAAGGAGTAGGAATGGGAGTTTTAAGAGGGAGGAGCCTCCTCTCATTTCCTACACCCCTCCCAAATTGTCTGGGATGAGCACTGAACCCCAGCGATCCAGAGGGGGTGAAATGTCCCTTGGTCTATGAGGTAACTCTTCCTCTGGCTCAAGACTGACCTTTCACAGCATAAGATGCCAATGTTAAAAGGCCCCTTAGAGATAAGTGACATCAAACCCCTCATTTTAGAGAGGGAGTCACTTCACTCAGAGTTAAATGGCAAAGCCATCCTGCAAAAAATGAGAGCACCAACTTGGCTCTCTGACTCTGCCAGTCGGCTGCCTTTCCACAGTCTGCCATGAGCGAGGAGTGGGGCAGCCCCTCCTTGGCGCCATGGTGGCCTGGATGCTGAGTGAACAGTGTTCAAGGAGGCACCCTCATTGGGAGACCGCACGGTCCGGGTGCCTGGGAGGTCTGCTGCCCTCCCTTTGGGATTTGTGTGCTAAACTTGTGGCCCAGGCTTCTGGGGCCCCACCTGGAGCTACTCCTGCAAGAGAAGACAGAGGTGGACCTGGGGCCCCACTCCCTCCACCAAGCAAGGGTAAAGGATCCCCCCATTTCTTGCTGAGCCCGATCAGCATCAGGGCCCTGGGGGGACAAAACAAGAGGTGTGCCTAGATTTATGTACCTGAATAGAGCAAGTACAAATAAGGACATGTGTAAACACACACAGGTACACCCAGGTCACTCTTGTACGATCATTTACTTTTTTGCTCCTTTATTTTATAAATAGGTAGTAAATTTAAATTTACATGGTTTAAGATTCAAAGGGTACAAAAGGATATGCCTGAAGGTCTTTCTCCCACCCTCATCCCCAGCCACCTAGTTCCCCTTCACATAGGCACCAGTTTTATGAGTTTCTTATATATCTTTCCAGAGATCCTTTATACCTATACATTTATATAAATATGTGTGTGTGCATCTCCTCACTTTTTTTACAAATGATAGCATATTAGATAGACTCTTTTGCACCATGCTTTTCCCTCTATTGTATCTTGAAGATCATTTCATATAAATGCACACAGAAGTTCTTGGTTTATTTTTACAACTTCATGCTGTTCTACTGTATACCTCCACCACAATTTATTTAGCCAGTCCCCTATCAATGAGCATTTAGCTTATTTTCAGTCTTTTGCTATTACAAACACATGTTGAACTTTTTACTTATTAGAAAAATTCCTTTTGAAATTACTTAGTCAAAAGCATGTGCACTGGCAGTTTTGATACATGTTGCCAAATTGCTGTCCTTAGAAGTGAACCCCTTTACACCTCTACTGGCAACATGGGAGAATTCCTGTTTCCTCACACCCTTGCCAAGTCAATGGGATATTAACGTGTTTTATTTTTGCCACTCTGATAAGTGAAAAATAATACCTTTTACTTACTCTTCTAGCATCTCCAAAAATGTCATTCTTCCTTATCTTATTTGATCCTTTCAAAATTCTATTTTACAAATGGTAATGCTGACACAGAAAAGATAAACAACTTACTATAGTCAGACCCAATGTAAATGGCCAAGGTTAGATGTTCAGCATTCCTTCCTGTGCTACACTGTGCCACAAGGAAGCTTAAGGAGGTTCAAGGGAGTGGGTGGCTTCCAGGATTCCTTGAAAGACACGTGATAGAAAAAAGCACAGCTTTCTGACATCTGTTAAGAGGCCTCCTCTTTAGTGGTCTGATACCAAGACCACATTTCTGCATGTGTCCCCTAGAGAGTACTCTCCGGAAACAAAGGGGCTCTGATTAGCAATCTGATCTGAGCTAGTCCTAAGCATTAGCTTGGATTCAATATCTGGGAAGCAGGAGGGTGTTGTTTTTAATTTCCCTGAGACTTATTTCTCAATGACCACCCAGGACCTAAGTATTGATCAGCATAGTGTGGGTAAAAGGATGTTTCCCCTAGATTTTAGCTTTATATAGGACACTCACTTGGACCTGGTGAGGATAATACCACACACACACACACACACACACACACACGCTGCTTGAATGATAAACTTATGAGGTAGGTATGTTTATTGACTGTTTCATTGACCATGAACCTGAAGGCCAGAAAGATCAAGTGAATTACTTAGGGTCAAAATACAAAATGTATCAGTTAGCAAATCAGAAGACACAATGTAGACCTAAAGTTGAACTCATTACTTTCCCCTGCAAAGTATTCTCTGCGCCCTCCTGTATTCATTTTGGTGAGTGACCTATTCACTCCGCCTTCAAAATAGAAACCTAGGGATTAACATCCACAACTCCTCATTCACTCATCCAGCTGATCACCAATCCCTCTGAATTCCTCATCCTGAATGTCTCTCCTCTTCATCCTTATTACCTTAGTTCCTCTCTAGGCTGGATTATTTCAGCAGCCTCATGTTTTGTTCTTCCTGCCTCCTCTTTCTCTTTTCTCCAGTCAGACACAGTACCCCCAAGGGTGAGCTTTCCAAATAATGACCTCATGTCCCAGTTTAAAACCTTCAGTGACTCCCCATTGCCTATAGATTAAGTCCAGATCCCTTTCCATGGACCTTATACAGCCTCTCTTTCCAGCCACATGACCCACTCCCAACTACTCTCCGTGTTCCAGGGCCAGACCTTGCTCTTTCTTCCCTTCCTGCTTTTAGCCTGCACAGCTCTCTCTTCTTGGTATGTCTCTCCCTCCTGGGCCTAAAAAACTTCCATACTTTAGGGACCCAAATTCACCTCCTCTGAGAAGCCTTTTCTGAGAGTACAATGCTGTTAGTGGCTCCTTCTCCGTATTCTAGGAACATTTTGGCCACACCTCTGTTATGGCATCTGTCACACTGTTTTAGGATTCTTTTTCTCCCCCAGGAGATAGAAGGGCACACACCATTAGTGACTCATTTTTGTATCCCAAAGCCCAGCACAGTGCACATAGGAGCTGTTCAGTAGGTATTAGTAAAAGGCAAGAAGAAAGGGGGCAGAACAAGGACAACAGGACCAGTTATGTTAATTGCTTAATGGGTTCAGGACACTATGCAAGGCTTAATGCTTCAGCTTATGTCTGTCTGAAGTAAAATGATAGAATATTTCTCCAAAACAAGTTAATTTCCACCCAGAAGATGATGAGAGCGAGGAGGACTGAGGGGATGGGAGAGAAAGCTGGGACTTTCTGTCCTTCAGGGGCTCTTTCCTATAGGCTGAGGCCGCTCATTTAACTAACTTCAGAAACTTCTCAGCTGATGTCACTCAGAAAAAAGGTAAAAGGGGGGTAGCCTGGAACTCTTAGAATTTACAAAAGAGGACACATGTGCCACTCAAGAAAGTATAAGAATGCTTCACCACCGGCTCACCCAGCCCTCCCGCTGTAAACAGCTCTAATGCTAATCACGGCCCCCTCCCCAGCTTGCAGTCTCTCCCTTTATGGTGTTTCTAAAATGAACCAGAAAGAGCCGAAGTAAAAATACTCGAGTCCTTCCCTCACTTGAGGAAAGAGAGGAGAGGCATATCATTGTGGTTGGTGTTTTAAGTCTATTTTTATTTTACATGGCATTCAAGTTTAGTTCCAAGTTCAACGGAGGTCTTACCCTGCTTCCTCCTACACAGATACTCCTGCAGGTAAATAAGGGAACGAAACTACTTCAGACTCTCCACTGAATTCTAGTCCCTCGGGACATCTTTTTTAAACTCTTAGTCTGCAAGAACCTTCTGACCCATTGGGACTTTTCTTGTCCTGTCTTCAGAAATGGATTTGTCCCTTTCTGGTGCAGAGCAGCGTTTATGTGTGTCACTTGAGCAAGGTGGGGAGGGGGGCGTCTGGGGGGATGCAGAGGATGCACCGTGAGTCAGGGGCGGGCGTGGGGGCCCCGCGTGTTGGGAGGGCGCTGGGCACCCTGCGTGGTCCGGGTGCGGTGGGGACCGGCGGCGCGGCCCTGGGGCCGGGCGCGGCGGAGCGGGCGGCGGGTCGCGCCCTCGGGGAGCGCTCACCCCGCGAGCCTGCGCCGCCTCCGCTCGCGGTTTCTGGTCGGATCCCAGCTGGCCCAGACTTGCTCTGAAGTAGGAGGAACCGCTGTCGAGCGAAGAGTGCACACCGGGTGATTGATGAACTCTTAATAGGACTAACCTCGCGCGCGCTCCCCACCCTAGACGCACACAGAAGACTCCTCCCCGGGCCGCCTCGCAGGCCAGAGGGGACGCTGCCGCCAGCCGGCTGGGTGATTAACTCACCGTTTGTCTTTCCGAAAGTGTTCCAGGTGGATTCAGGACAGCCCCCACCCCGACACCCGCCCCCAACACCACCCCCCCAACACC